GGTGGTCGGAAGAGTTGAGGGGTTAACCAGGGAACAGCCAAAGAGCCAAAACCGACAAATGACCACTTACAACCCTGAAAGTACACTGAAGCTTTACGTTAACTTTCAAGTGGCTATTTCCTCGATTACCTAGGGAGAACAACTGACCATCAGAAGCCTGGTTATGCATGAACTTTCCAGACTGCTGCTCACAACCAATCCCAAAACAGCAAATATACTTTGCTTATGGACCGTACACCTGTCCCCCAACCATCCCCCGCTTCTCCTTTATCATAGTCAACGTAAATCCTTTCAAAACAACTTACATCTTTCTTCTAACTTACTGTATAAGAGCTCATCAGTCCTAGGATGGCAGACATGACTGTCTTCTCTGCCTCATCCTGCTGCTGGTAGATGAGACTGCACGTCCCAGGACCCGGTCCTTCATCTGGCTATGGCTCAATAAATGCTTCATTTCAGAAAAACTTTTGGCATCAAAGGTTTTTGATTAACAGTTCCCATTGCCATAACTGATGAAATATAAAATGCCTTTTACCTTCCAGATATCCAAATAAAACATGGGTATTTTAAGACACTGCACTCAACTACTAAAGTAACATAAAAGTAATATGCGGTGAAAAGGAATAGGGAAACTGATTATCTACCATGGGCCAAGTACTTAGTACCTATCTATCAATCTATCTGTAATCTTACTTAAGTCTCAAAACAATCATGTAAGATAGGATTTATTATCCCTATAAAATAGAACAGGAAAAATAAAATGGAGAAACAAAAGCTCAGAAAGATTTTGCCCAAAGTGAAGCTAACTGGCTGGAGCTAATTGTAATTAATTACATAGCCAGTAAGTTACAAAACCTGGATTTGACCAGGATCATCTGACTCTAAAACCCTCGCCCTTCCACTATACAGTGGAAATCTCTAAATGGCTAAAGGATTTAGATAAAATCTCTAAATCCCTAGAGGATTTAGATGAAAACAAATAATATAAGGGCAAATAATATACAGCAAACTATATTTGGCTATATACTTACTTAATAAAGCCAAAGATGGGCATTCTTGAAATGTTTTTGATATAATAAACAGATGTCTGAGTTTTCAAGTCTTCATATTTAAGAATTCTAGTTGAGCAACTGGAGTAAATTATTTTTAGAAGTCAGTTAACTAAAGTTTCCTAGCCATCGACAGTATTGTAACTCATGGAAAATGTATTCTAAGTTAAATGCTTCCTGAACACACGTGAAGAAATAACTGTTCTCTTGCCATATAACATTTCTTAGTACCTTTGTCCAAGGCACTATGTACTAGGTTTCCTTAGAGGGTAAAGGTCAAGGCCAGCCCAGGGCCTGCACAGACTAAACCCCCAACAATTATTTTCTGAATAAATGAATAAGGCCTGGAAAGGGAGGTAAACACAAATTACTACTTAACAAGGCCAGACCAGTCAGTGAAGCACGTTCTAAGTCAGCACAAGAGTCAGCTGATGCAGGAAAATGAGTACTGACTACTGACTGTCACTCTCTACATTTCCATTTACAAGGATAAAGAAATTTGGTATCTAAAAGCTTTAACTGACGGTGTAAGAATAAAGATTAATATTAAAATCAGGCAGGCATAAAAACCTCACTAAACCACTGCATGCATAAACTAGAAATGAGGGCCTGACTCGTCTGTGACCTTTGTCCAAGGCACTATCCCACCCACACACCACACACCACACACCCACACACACCCACACACCCACTCCCAGTCTCCCTCTCTCTCTCCCCTCTCCACTCCCTGAAGGGAAAAAAATGAAATGAAACAGAACTAAATCATCCCTTTCATAATACGGACTTGCTCCTGGGCATCGCTGCCATGTGGTACCCATTTGTTGGTGTCACATGCTTCCACTTTAACACACAGACGCGTATTGAAACTACTTTGTTGTTGCATTTTTTGCTGTGAGAGAAGAGCCCAAGAGTAATGCTACCATTCAGAGAGCTTAGCAACATAAACTGGAAGCTTTATTTTGGTAACCTTTGCCTTGGAATACTTATTTCCTGATCTCCAAATTATGTAAAACTTACCTTTCTGATAAGAGGAGCAACATCTGGTTTAAAGTCTTAGAATTAAAAAAAAAAAAAAAAAAATTATGTGATTTTGATGATCGCGATGATAAAATTACAATAAGAAAATACAGGACTTAAAAAAAAAATTATTTTCTGAGAAAAGTTTCAGAATGTTTCTCTCTCTCTCTCTCTCTCTCTCTCTCTCACACACACACACACACACACATACACACACGATAATGAGCTATATATTTTCATATTCAATTTTGCAATTTTTTTTTTTTAAAGCCACTGACTTTTAGGGTTTTGTACTAAACCCGCCACAAGAATCAGATTAAAGTCATTACTTGGGCAGCCCCTCCCAACCGCCACCGCTGAGTAGCTGGTGTTCACATTCCCCAATCGCTACTGCTCCCTCCAGACTCTGCTTCCTCATTTTTGCAAAGCTATTCCCTCTAAGGTGGCCAAATCGGAAAAAAAAGAAAATAACTACATACTCAGTTCCACCCATTCCTTCCTAGAGAAGCTGCTAGGTATAGTAAAATTGCCATTTCCTAGTATTTTGCACTGAGGGACCAAATTACATCACAAAGTTCACTGACTGCGCACCACAAAATAAGAACTATTTAAATTTCATGCCACAACTAGAGTTTGCTGGAAATGACTCAGTTCTTTATAACTCAGTTAAGAGACCTCTTGTGTCATGCCATCAAACAATTCTGCTTTTTGAATGGGCCTGCCAAGTATGTCAGCCTAAATTACCAATGTACTTCACAGACTTCAAAGTACTGCCTCGAGAAGCTGATCTAAACCACCCCAATGAGGGGCGGCTGGCCACGATTCTATAAGCGGAAAGAACATGCCAAACGGTTTTTTCAAAGAAGAGAAAGAGAAAAAGAATAGTACATACTGTCCCTTATTAGATGACTACTGCATACAAACTCACATTTTTAGAAGAGGCTCTTCCTTGGTGTCAATTCTCTTTCACCAAAGTAACAACGATTGCAAGCAAATTAGATTGTTAGGTGATGCTATCGTATATGGCACAATCTGGAAAAGGGCAGAGTCTTCGACCTTTCCCTCTCTGTTCTCACAAACGAGATGCTAGGAGAAAGCCCACTGGGAAATGAAAAAGGCTTCCAGGGTAGTAAGTGGCTGACTGACATGGAGCCTGAGATTAACAGTCTGGCCAAGCTCAGAAAATGACACAAGGCACCCTGATTTCTAGTCTCTTCCTGCCAATAACCGTCTTTAATACTGGTCCCCAGGAGACTGAAGCTTTACATATCTCCTGAACAATTCCAGTGTATTAAATGATTCACGAAACCTATAGGAATCCTGTGAAGATATAAACCTTAAAAAATTATATCTAATATGGGAAAACAGGAAACCTACACACTCTTGGTAAGACTGCAAATTTGTAAACTAAGTCCTTTTTGGAAGAGAAGTTGACAAGACAGCAAACATTTAATGCGCATACCTATGGCCTGACCAAGTCTTTTTCTAAAAATACGTATTTGTGTATTTGTATAAGAGTATGAGGATAGTCATTGCAACAGACATATTTTAGCAAAAACCTGGTAGCAACCTAAATATTCAGCATTAACAATTTGAATAAATTATAGTACATCCATACAATGGAATATTATGCAGCCATTAAAAAGAATGGGGTAGACAGAATGTGTTCATAGGAAAAAGCAAAAAGAGTAAATCGTAATTCCATTGGTGTAAACCAAAAAAAGATTTATCCGTTATCTATGGCTATATAAAGGAATGTAAAACATACAGCTGGACATGCATAGAAAATGTCTGGCAACTAATTCTAAGAGTAGGATTAGGGAGAAGCTGGATATGTGTAATATGTGTATTTTTTTTTTTAAATATCATGGGAACAGAATTAATTTTAAATTAAAAATATATATTTGATGAAGTTTTTAAGAATATTACAAAAATATTTTCAATTTTGAAAACAAATAAGATCATCCTTAAAAAGCATCTATAGTATAGCACCGAAATAGAGTTTTTCTCTTTTAAATAATGCTGCAAGCCAAGAAAAAAGTGTGAGGAAAAATCTATAACCTTCTCAATGCATGAAGGAAAAAGTTATATCCTTGTGGGTTGGCTTTTATTTAGTTAACATAAACCTGGAATAGATTTTTATCTATTAAAAAAATATAATATGCAACGCATGACAGAGCACATTATACTCACGTTAACAGATCTTAACTATGTGGAACCAAACATACTAAAATAACTTTTTATATTAAAAATGATGTTATTTACACAGTTAAGATGCCATCACATATGCGAATGATGCTACTTCAGATATTGTTAATGTCAATGTTCCTTACACCCAGACTTTTTGAATTATTAATTGGAAATTCTACATGCCAAAAATATGAAGTAGTAAAATTAAATTAATCTAGACTGATGACATAAGCTCTCTCCAAAAAACCACATTCCACATGTGGATGCTAGGTAATCTTCCATTATTT